ATGTTTTACAAAATAATATTTTAATTTGAGTAAATGGAATATTTATTTTTTTCATCATAGCCTTTTGTTTGTAGCTGATTTTTAACCTTTGAATACTTAGTGAATATATTTTTTAAATTATCTGATTTTATTAATCTATGTTTTAATAAAAAAGAATATGAGAAAAATATTTAAAACCAATAACAACATGCCAATGAAATAAACATGAGGCCCACAGTTGTTGATTTAAAGCCATCTGTATGAAGCATTAAAAATAGTTTTTTGAGGGAGAGGCTACTGAGGGGACAGGTGAAAATGGTGAGAAGAAGTACAAATTGTACAGAATAGTGATGGGGATGTAAAATACAGCATAGGGAATATAGTCAATAATATTCTAATAACTATGGTGTCAGATGGATGCTAGATTTATCAGGATGATCACTTAGTAAGTTATGTAATGTCTAATCACTTGAATGTACATCTGAAACTAATATAATAATACATGTCAACTGTGATTGAAAAAGTAAAGAAAAATTATATTTATATATAAATTAATAATGGAGCTTGATTGTGTTAAATATAATGTATGGGCTAAAATGGGGAAAAAATGAAATGAAATAACTTTTAAATAAATTGTTAATGACATCCAAACTGTGCCACCAGTGAACACTGACTTAATCAACTGTTAGCAACATGCACATCTACTAATGAGTGTCTTGTTTGTCTACTTGATCTCAAAGAAAACTTGTTACTTTAGAACTCTAAGATGACCCTCTTGAAAATGCACAGGGTTAGTTTTCTTAAGATGGATCATTACCTTGAATAGATGGGAAATATTATAATTATGATGCCTATTAGATTATTTTTCTAAATATGTCAAATGTAGTATATACTAATTACATAAATTGCAGTAGAATATAACAAACAAGAATTTTAGAAGAAAAGTATCTATGCAATATTAATTTTGAATTTAAGAATTTATGTTTATTTTAACATATATTAATAAAATTTTGCCTTGAAGACTGAAAAAATATTTCAAATAAATAAGAAATATGAAAAATGCCAGTAACATATGCTTTCTCTAATTTCCTAGATCTAAGTAAACAATCGTATACAAATTGAAATGTCTATGTACTTATACTCAAACGACAAATTAAATTTCAATTATGAAAGAAATAAAACACTGAATTTGTAAATTTATATTAGCCAGAGTATTCATTTTTTAAAAGCATAACACAAAATCAAAACTTCAATAAAAAATATTTTTTATTGTATCAGTGAAAAAAATATTTTTTATTGCTGTCCTGATTTTGTGTTATGCTTTTAAAAATGAAGACTCTGTCTAATATAAATTTCACTGATACATCACCCAAGGCAACAGAAACAAAGGAAAAATTGAACACATGGGACTACATCAAACTAAAAAGCTTCTGCACAACAAAAGAAACGACCATTAAAATGGAAAGGCAACCCACTGTATGGGAGAACATCATTGCCAATGATACATCAGATAAGGAGTTAATTTCCAAAATATATAGAGTACTTATACAACTCAACAACAACAAAAAAAGACAAAGAACCCAATTAAGAAATGGGCAGAGGACCAAATAGACACCTCTCCAAACAGGACATACAAATGGCCAAGAGACATATGAAAAAATTCTCAACATCACTCATCATCAGAGAGATGCAAATTAAAACAACAATGAGGTATCACCTCACACCTGTCAGAATGGCCGCCATCAACAATCTTCAAACAAGTGTTGGCAAGGGTGTGGAGAAAAGGGGACGTGAGTGCACTGCTGGTGGGAATGCAGACTGGTGGAGCCACTGTGGGAAAACAATATGGGGCTACCTCAAAAAATTAAAAATTGAACTTCCATTTGACCCAGTGATCCCACTTCTAGGAATATACCCTAAGAAACCTGAAACACCAATCAGAAAGAATATGTGTACCTCTATGTTCATAGCAGCACTGTTTACAATAGCTAAGATCTGGAAACAGCCCCCAGTATCCATCAGTAGATGAATGGATAAAAAACAGTGATACATATACAAAATGGAGTACTATGCAGCTGTAAGAAAGAAAGATCTCTTATCCTTTGAGACGACATGGAGGGACCTGGAAAGTATCATCCTAAGTGAAACAAGCCAAGCAGAAAAAGACAAATACCACATGATCTCACTTATATATGGGATATAATGAATATAACAGTCTGAGGAATAAGGTAGACCCAGAACACAGAAGTAGGGTACAGACTGATAACGCTCAGAAGGGTGGTGGTGGGGGGCGTGGAAAGAGATAAACCACAGAACTAATGTGCATGCATGCATAACCAATGAAAATAAAGCAGGGGACAGGGCAGGGGGGGATGGGAGGAGGGTGTCAATGGGGTAAAATGGAGAAACATCTGTAACAAAAATAAAATAAAATAAAATAAAATAAAAAATATATAAATTTTTAAATTTGTAACAGAAGAAGACTAGCAACGTTTGGTTGAAAAAAGGTAACAATTTTTAATCTTTTCAATGCACTAGGAAGTAGAAGTTATAAAAATACTGAGAATTGATCCCTATGTATAAAGGCAAGACTATCACTGAACAATTGTTTTTATTAGAAAAGAAATTGAAGGTGAAAAACAAACCAACAAAATCAGAAGAAAAACTAAACAAAATGTAAGAATTATAATTTATATATGGGTATCATTTCTCTAGAAAGAAAATGTCCTTCTTCTGAACAGCTTTCTCTTTTTTATGACTCTTATTCTGTTCATAATGCTTCTGTTGAAACTCTAGTTTTTTATGAAAGTTCAATCTGTGAAGGTCAAGTTATCTGTTAAATACAATAACTCATCATTTATTCCCCATTATCCAAGAATCCAGAGGTCACAAACTTTAATTCCCCAGAGTCCCAACAAGGTTACGTGACCATGGATTTCTAAATGTTTTGCACACAAAATAACATCCATGCACAACACTTTTTTTTCTTTTCTGTGATAGCCAATTTGGCACATGAAGCGGTTTACCAGTGTGCTAAACTAACCAGTACTCCATGACAACTCACAAAAGGAGACAAAGAACCCAGTTGAAAAATGGGCAGAGGACTAAATAGACAATCTTCAAACGGGACATACAAATGGCCAAGAGACATGAAAAAATGCCTCACCATCACTAATCATCAGATAGATGCAAATTAAAATACTATCACTCACACCTGTCAGAATGGCCGCCATCAACAAATCATCAAACAAGTGTTGGCAAGGGTGTGGAGAAAGGGCGACTCTAGTAAACTGCTTGGTTGGAATGCAGACTGTTGCAGCACTATGAAAACACTACGGTGTTGTCTCAAAAGGTTAAAAATTGAACAGCCATTTGACCCAGTGTCCCACTTCTAGGAATACCTCGGTTCTCGACGCCTCGGATTTCGACCAAATCGGTATTCGACCAGGAGATTCGAGAAACTTTTGTCTTGGAATCCGAACAAATATTTGAAACTCGAACTTCCGAGATGAGCCGAGTTGAGCCGAATGGCGTTCATTCGGCCCAGCGCGCCTTGCCTTGCGTCATCAGTGTGAGTGCAGAAGAGAGAGTCACGCTTTGTGGAGAGAGTCACGCTTTGTGGAGAGAGTCACGCTTTGTGGAGAGAGTCATGCTTTACACTGAATTAACCCTTAGACATACTGTACACTTTATTTCTTGTTGAGACTTATGTTTTTTCTACATATTATATACAAATTAGGCCAGTAAATAGGCATTTTCTGGGGTTTGGAACGAATTAATCAGTTTCCCATTATTCCTATTGGGTTTCATTGCTTCGGTTCTCGAACAATTTGGTTCTCGACCGTCCTCCTGGAACGAATTATGTTCGAGAACCGAGGTATCACTGTATACCCTAAGAAACCTGAAACACCAGAAAGAATATATGTTCCCCTATGTCATAGCAGCACTATTTACAATAGCTAAGATCTGGAAACAACCCAAGTGTCCATCAGTAGATGAGTGGATAAAAAAGCTGTGGTACATGTACACAAAGGAATACTATGCAGCTCTAAGAAAGAAAGATCTCTTATCATTTGAGATGACTTGGATGAACCTGGAGAGTATTATGCTAAGCAAAACAATCAAAGCAGAGAAAGATAAATACACATGATTTCACTTATTTCTGGAATGTAAAGAACTAAACAACCTGATCCACAAAATGACCCAGAGATATAGAGGTAGGGTACGACTGACAACCCTCAGAAGAGAGGGTATTGTGGGGAGGGAAGAGATAAACCACAGAACTTATATGCATGTATGCATAACCAATGAACATAGACAACAAAGCTGGAGATAGGGTTGGGGGGGGGGGAGAGGGTGTTAATGGGGGGAAAAAACATCTGTAATAAAATCAAATTAATAAAAATAATTTTTTAAAACTATTACCTAATCAAAATACAAAATGAATTGATGGTGTGATGCAATTAAGAAATAAATTTTAAGTGTATTCATTAAACAGAAATTTAAAAAAAAGAAAAATTTAAGAAAGTTAGAA